ACACCGAAGCAGCGGCTGCGGAGCCCAAGCCGGATGAGGAGATGAAGAAGGCCACAGAAGACTAATACTGGTATAATATAATATAATATAATATAATATAATATAATATAATATAATATAGTATAATATATAATATACTATAATATATAATATAATATAATATAATCTAATATGATATGATATAATATAATATGATATAGTATGATATAGTATAATATATATATATATATAAATATAGTATAATGGCCGAGCCCTCGGCCTTCGGCTCTTCGGACCGCTCGGCCTTGCCAGTCGGGCGCTGTTCTTCCTTTTTTGGTAGAAGACTTCGTAAACCCTAAAACCCTAAACCCTAAACCCTAAACCCTAAACCCCAAACCCTAAAACCTAAACCCTAAGCCCTAAACCCTAAACCCTAAACCCTAAACCCGCCCCTCCGGGCCCCGGCCTTTTGTGGGCATCCCGCTAGCCTCGCACTCAAGCACTCAGAAATCCACTACGACTCCTGATGTCTACTCCAAGAACTGCCACAAGGACTAGCCTTTCCCTGCTTTGGGCTCCGGGCGAGGCTGCAAAAGACGTTACCCAACTTTCCCGCTCTTCGAGCGCAGCTTCCCGTGCTGGCACACCTCACATACGCACAGCATGTCTGCAAGTAGCTAAAGCAGCACATGGCGGCTGGTGCTGTTGACAGTTCAGCTGCTGGCGGTCTGCATCTATCGAGAAGCCGTTGATGCTTCCTGGCAAAAGGCGCCAAGCCGCCAGAGCATTGTGACCTTCGGCGGTCGGCACGGAGCTACCAAGCCAAGGGTTCGAAAGTCAGAAAGCTGCACCAAAGGCCACCACCGTCAACTGTCGCAGCCTCAATTTGCACAAGAACGACCCCTGCATCATTGCTGCACGGAGTCACAACAATAAGGCTCAGCCGACGACATCAACACCGAGGATCTTCTCCATCACTCCCAGCTGATCTGACAGACAAAAGCTTGTGAAGGTGAACCCCCCTAAGTGGCAAATCCCTAAACCTGGCTCACGACACACCAACCCGGACGGCCTTGGAGCCTCCGATGACGCTGCGAGGCCACGGTCCGCTCCTCAGGATTTGGAGTTCAGGGCTTTCTTGAGCATCGGTTCGTCCCGAGGGTCTGGGGTTTCGGGTTGGGGTTTAGGGTGGGAATGTTAGTGCTGCACCTGTTCGTATCAGCAAAGGAGACCGAGAGCGACAATTCCCCTCGCGTGCCTTGCTCGCGAGCTCCAGATCTTTCACCAGCAATTCAGCGGATGCCAAAGCATTCAAGGCCTTGATCTGTGAAAGCTGGACAAGCGTGAAGTGCAGCAGTCGCCACGGCCTTGTCGTGCTTGGAGTGGCCGAGAACTGATTGTGTCAGGGACCGCATGGAGCCCAACGACGCCATCTGCAGAGGTTCATGCTGCCATACTGTCTTCATCTGCAGGAGGTGAGACGAAAGATCCGAGGGTCACGCAGAGGCCCCTGGTGCACCTGTCAGAGTCAGGAAGGGAATCAGAGAAGGGCAAAGTACAGCCAAGAAGGCCGGTACCTCCAATCGCAACGGGACTTCTGGACCTCTGGACAAAGACCAGCTCGGAGCTTTGTACCGAGCATTAGCCGATGTATTGTCTGCAGTCTAACGAGCACTGGAGCTTAGGAAGCGGCCGCAAGGGCTTCCCGTCAGCCTGCAACCGCTAACGGATCCCAGGAAGCGTGAACGCCAGTGTTGGAGTAGACTGCACCATTCGGCCGAACAAAGGTTCCCCTTCAGCGAGAAATCCTCCTGTGGCCGGTAAGTGTTCCGGCTCTTGTTGGGGATTCTGCTCTCATCAGCCAGTGAAAAGGCTTGCGCAGACAAAGGCGGCTTTGCCTCCATGCCGAAGCCCGAACTTGCAGTCTCACCATAGCTCATGGCTCCACTGATACAACTACAGCTGAAAAGTTCAGAATTGCGCAAAAAGTTCCAGGTATGGATGCGAGTCAGATGCATGCTGTCATCTCTCAACCGACCTATGGAAACATACATACATTCATACAAGATGCTAACTGACGAATTAAAAAACTATCTAACCAAGTAGCTAAGTAACGAACGAAAGAACTAACCAACTAACCACTTGACTAACCAGCTAACGAACTCACTGGCTATCTAGGTAGCTAGTTAGGACATCTATGTGCGTACTTATGCTCTTACATCGCATGCAACTCACATGGACAATCTTCGCTTCTTTCTGGCTGTCATGCGCTCAAGACTGTCTCTCTGTCTCTCTCTCTCTCTCTCTCTCTGTGCTGTTTTGAATCGTGGCCTTTGTGCTTGAGTCGTTGGTGCTTGTCTGCTTGCTCTTCATCTTCTATGCTTACCCCGGCCCCGGCACGAACTGGACCACACCGCTTCTACGTCTCTTTCGTTGCCACCGTTTGGTTGCAGATTGCATTGAGGCTTCGTCGGGCTTTGCTCAGAACCTACTGATCCATACCCGGACATATCTTACGAACCTAGAACCATGTGACTGATGTGGCTTGAACGGAAAGCTGCAGCATTTTTGCGAACACATTGAGCCAAGTCTGAAGCCGGGTTGGCAGCTAGCAATGCAAAAGGGCACTTGTGCTCAAAACTCGCCCAGGCCATGTCAAGCGCAACCTGGGCTTCACAACATCGCCACTGCCCAGATTCAACAAAGCTCTGCCAGGAGAGGCACCAAGGCATCCCGAAAGTCGGATCTTGCTGGGCGGGATGCACGGACCTGACAAACGAAAACAGTCGGAACTCTCCGCCAGATCTCCGACCAGTGCCTGCTCCGTGTTCCATCGTTCAAGCAGCGTGGCCAAGTCCGCCCAACATCTCTGCAGAGCCTCATCACAGCACATACAGACTGCATGGGCAACAAGTGCGAAACTGACCACGCCTCCGCACGACGCATTGCTTCTGCACTGAATTCGAACTGGCAAAGGGTGCAGGACTCAGGCGATCTGTGTGCAGCATGTATTGTTTGCATGGACATGCCCCTGATCTTCAGCAGCAGCATGAAACAGCCTTGTCTCCGTTGACCCAAATCACGGCATACTGTTCGACGCTTGCCTGCTGATTCGTCTTGAAAAGAGCCACTGCATAGACACGTGTGGCACACTAGAGGATCGCGCCTCTAGCACATCGACACGGTAATTTCTTGCCTGGTCACACAGGCCAAGGTATAGACCGACAGACTGGCCTCAAAGGATACGTAGAATAGCACAACACGTCACTAAATATTGAAAGCATTCTGCTCAAACCGTCAAAGGCACACGGAACATGGGCACGCACGAGAAAGCAGGTTAAGTCTAACGACTGGCAGAACGGTAGCATCTTTCGACAACAGTGCACAGGGCCTCGTCTGGGAAAAGAGCCCGGTAATTGATTGTGAACGAAGATCGGTACCTGCACGGGGAGAGTAAGACCTCACTTGATCCCAGGTCAAGGCGAGAAAACAAACCTGTCAAACAGGGCACTTTCTAGGTGCTGCGTCAATGTGCATGACCTGCAAGGTCGACGTCATGATACTATTTCCGATTCTGAACATGTTGAAGGCACGCCGAGCTCCGAACTCGAGCAGTGGAATCCAAACTCTCCAGAAATAAAGCGCATGAATTGAATCCAGCCTGTTTCGGCAGGAGGACTCTGCTCTCATGCTCGATGAGTAGCTGAACTGTTGCACTGCACAAGGCCTCACTTTTCGTGTTCACCCGGCCGCTTTCGATGACCAATCGGCTATGTGCCGATGCCAGACCAACTACTGCAGCCTTTCATCGATAGTTTTCAGTGCAAAAAGTTCCGTTTAGGCTGCAACCATGCCTCCTCCTGCGAGCTGAAGGTATCCCCAGTATTGTTCCAAAGCTTTCGCAGCATGACTGCCAATGGCAACAATTGCCTGTGACCGAGATGAGTTCTTAGTCCGGCACTTGAACAACACCTTGCGGAGCTTGGCACCCGGCCTAACTTCACCATTGCATTGCAGACTAGTCCGTATGAGCCCAAACCCAGAAGATCATGATATCGAATCGCATGGCAAAAAGCTGTATGCCTGGACGACTCATTCAACTACCTGGTGAAAATCGTTCTGGTCCGCATGCTGTCACAATGTAACATGCTGAATGCAGCACCGTACGCATTTGCGCCTTATTGCGCCAATTTTTGATCGCCTCTCGCAAGCTTCTTGGACAGGACACGGATGCCTTGCTGCCGACTCCACGGCTGGCCGCCGGTGTTCGACCCACGTGTCATCACGTGTCGGCAAGTCAAAATATGCAGCAGAAGCGGCGTAATGGTGAACCAACGTACGACAACCATCACGAATGTTCTGAAGTCTTACGGCACTCAACGCAGACCTCAACTGCAGCGGGGCTTACAGCATGTTGCCACAACACAGCGAAACACGACACGCCGTCTCGCTAAGCAATGGTAAACCACTGAGCCAACAACCCAAACATGGACTGGGTCGTTTGGACTGTGGGAATGGATTCCTCGAGTGTGATTATGCAACATGGGCAACCAACTCACAGAGCTCATCCCACTAGAATTCGTGTGACATGAACCGAACAAGAACGACACTGACACGACAATCCGCCATTCCAATCAATGTCAGAACGCATGTTCAGAATGCGTTTAACTACCCGAAGCAGCACCGGACATCACCTCCTCCGACCATCAACCATTCATCATTGCATCCGACCATCCAACAATCCAACCATTCATCTATCCATCCATCCATCCATTCAGTCATCCATCCATGCATCCATGCATCCATGCATCCATGAATTCATGCATGCGTCCATTCGTCCATCCGTCCATCCGTCCATCCCATCCATCCATGCAGCCGTCCATCTGTCCGTCCAACCATCCATCCATCTGCCAACCCATCCATCCATCCATCCATCCTTGCGATCCATTCCATCCGTTCCATCCGATGGATCCAGTCCATCCATTCCATCCGTTCCATCCATTCCATCCATTCCATCCAATCCATCCATTCCCCCATTCCTCCATTTAACCTCCATCAATTCACTCATCCACGCACCCATGCGCCCATGCAGCCACGCGTGCACGTGCATCCGCGGACATCATTCCATCCATCCATCCTCCAATATGCTTTTTGGCCGGGCGACAAAGAAAGCGAGAAGCAAGACGAACAACCAAGCCAGCAGCGCATACTTGGAGAGTTTGGAACGATGCGAATTACAGATCACATCGCTCCGCGTGAGCGGGCCACCAGTCCTTCGAATCAAAAAAAGCTGTCAAACAGAGGCAACAACAGCGAGCCGAGGCGCCAGCGTTTTGGTCTTCCGCAGTTTCAGTGGAGAGCGACCATGTCTTTTGCAATGCAGTTGGGTTACTCCAAACCGTAGCTAGCTTATGAGCACGCATTTGTTTCAAAACAATAAAGTTGAAACTTTCTGCATGCACAGTCTTCACGCGGCGTGACCAGAGACAAGAGCGTTGGCGTCGCTTAAATGGCAGAAGAGCTCTGCAAACTCGCAATTTCGCCAAGACAACAAGGTCGTCATCAACCAATCAACTCCAACTTCAAGCCGCATGGCATTCTCCGCAAATCGTTGTTCCGTGAGCGACCGGGGCATCCATGTCCGCCTTCAAGCCTCCTTACGTAAATCCAGAACCTGTACAGCGCAATCCGGTAGTTTTCGGGACGGAGTGCAAGTCCTCACCTTGGATTGAGTCCTGGCAAGCGAAACAGCTGTTGTTGACCGTGGGAAACCAGGAAGCAGTGAGTGTTCGCTTCGGCCCCCAATTTGTTTTTAGTCAGTAATTAGCAACCGCGCGAAACGCCGCGCCCGACTTTTTTTGACGCGTGGTGACCTTGTGGTGACATTGCAGTGACCTTGCTGCAAAAGCGTTGTTGCAACATCATAGTTGCCATTGATGTTGCCATAAGTGGTCGATGGCATACCAGAATTTTTTCCGGACTTTTGCAAGAAAATGCTGCACTCGACGGATGAGATCTTGCACTCTCTCTAGGGAGGGTGTTCC